TCAGAGAGCTCCTGGGGGCTGGGGAGGGCAGAAATGAGCAAAACGGGGCTTTTTGCCCCCCCCAGCCCCCAGCAGCACTCTATAAGCTTCCATAAGGCTATGCAATTTGACAAAAAACAGACCTTTTTTGCTCATTTTTGCCCCACCCAACACCCCCCAGAAGCACTCTGCAAGCCCCCCCAAAGCTATTCATGCCTTTTTTATTAAAAAAAAAAACACAGCCTGTTTTCACAAAAAACGGCCCGTTTTTGGGAGGTTTAGAGTGCAAAAACTTTTTTTTCTTTTGGAAAGCTCTTTAACTGATTGATGAGAATTACATTGATCAAGTGCTGTGCCAGCAGAAACAAAGTCTTAAATGCTGCAGATTGTCAACGATTTCCTCCTCCAGCCCATGGATAAATACACCTGGAAACATCTACCTGCCTACCTACTCTCTCTCTCTCCCTACCTATCTACTGTATTTCTCTCTCTCTCCCCCTCTATCTACCTATGTACCTACCTACTTTCTCTCCCTATCTTCTGTATTTCTCTCTATTTCTCTTTCTCTATCCCTCTATTTACCTACACTCTCCCTCCCTCCCTCCTTCCTGTATTTCTCTCTCTCTCTATCCCTTATCTACTCACCTACCTACTTAACTACTCTCTCTCCCCCCCCCACCTCACTACTGTATTTCTCTCTCTTTCTCTCCCTCTATCTACCTACCTACTTTTTAAAAAAATGCCTCTTCAAAACCTTGGTGCGTCTTATACTCCAGTGCGTCTTATATTCCGAAAAATACGATATTTACATGTATGGTTGCTGTGTCCTAGATGTCATTCTATTGTATCATTATCAGCTTCTGACAAGCACAGTCAATGGGGGAAGCTGGATTTCTTAATGATTGCATGAGTCACTTAACTACAGTGATTCACTTAACAGAGGCAAAATAGGTTGCAAAATTGGACATAAATCACTTAACAACAGCTTTGTGTAACAATGGAAATTCTGGTCTTAACTGTGGTCATGTCAATGACTGCCTGCCTGTATAACGTAATGTACATATGTGCCTAGTGAGGTCAGTGAAATGTTAGGGTGTAATTAAAAGCTAATAGGGCAGAACCATAAAGACAATGGGGTTTTGAAATAATAAAGAGGCATTATTCTATGAACATAGTTTCTTTCCAGGGAGCTTCTTTTGCTTTCTCAGAGCACTAATCACCATCTGTAACTTCCTATCACCACCTCATATTTCTAGCTTATCAGCATTCCTTGGTTTTCTAAATGTTTCATGGCTGTCAGTATTAAATTTCTTGAGGAAGTGTATTTCCAAGGAGGTGTGTGGGATAGGGATTATGGAGTTTTAGCCTGAGCCCCCAAATTCTCCTTCAGCTTCAACCACATCACAGCTGATGCAGGTGATGCAGCCTGAGATGGTGGCATAAAGTTGGTATCACAAGAATATTGGTTATGCTTCACTCCAAATCAGACTATGACTTCTCTCAACAACTTCATGTAGAAGTTAACAAGGTAAAAGAATGGAACCACATGGTTCTTTACACATCCATAAGCTATTAAAATGATTTGTTTTCTTCCACTGAGAAGGAGCAGAATCACTGTAAATATTCAGTCATGAAGGTAGTTCAGATTGATTTCATGATCAATGGCTGCTGATAGGTTTTAGGAGGAGACAAAGCTCACATCCTCTGTGTAGGCACATCCTCTTCCTAGGACCTGACAATGATAATTAAGCAGCAAGAGCAATATAGCTCTTATCCATGCCTGAGTCTGACCTTTGCCTATAAAGTATTTACTTATAACCGATTCTATTAAATATGTATCTATTTTGTAAAATATTTTTATTCCCAGTTTGCTGCAGTACATAAGGACATTCAAAATGGCTAAAGCTGAATTATCCTTTGAGTCAAACATACCCATGGTGATTTCACTGAGACACGCATGCAGTTTTCTTAGCAACAGTGCAGGCTTCCCATGTTCAATATAAAAATTCCTACAAGCAAACTAATACTAATTCCTCTACAGATTAAATCAGAAAACAATGAACAAAATAGATAAACAAGGTGTTGTTTATTAAAACATTCTTGGACAATATAAAAAGTAATGAAATACTTAATAGTGTTGTAAATTATTACTGTAATTGCATATAAATCTGGAAGATGATTTTAATTATATTATGAATTACACTGTAGATTAACAGAACCACTCTTTCTAATATATATTTAAAGTTGAAGAATTTCTACAACAACATTCTGAATTTAATTATTTCTTACAATACTTTTTAAATTATTACAATAATCTCATAAATCCACCCTAACAGAATGAGAAAATAATAATCAGAATTATGCATTTTACAGGCTGAGCATTCAAAATTATATAAAGATTTTTTTACTCGAAGACTATTACATTGAACAATTTTCTTTGCCGCTTTATAGAACAGACTTCCTATTGCAATACATTGCCAACTGACTAAATGCTACTGGGTTGCATAACTTGTTATACCAGTCCTCCATTTTAAGGTATAATTTTTTGTTATAGATAGAATCAAGTTAAATTACCTATAGGACTGTTACTGTTTCGTCCAGGAAGCAAGACCGTAAGAGATGCCTCGTGAATACTACATTATAAAATAAAAGAATTCTACATGGAGCAGGGGAAGCTGCTGAATATTGTTATCTGTGTATTAATGGAGTTTTAATTGAGCGGACTAAATCCCACCTACCCTCTTCCAAATTTGGAAGTACTTGCAGTGCTGATTTCATCATCTCTTGCTATAATTCATTAAGACACAGACAATAACATTTAATTGGTTGCCCTGAATGTTTGGAGAAATTAAAAATAATACAATGGAATCATTGTCTACAACATTGTTTTTAAATCGTGACAAGTTTCAGATGTATGGATGCCAACTCCCAGAATTCCCCAGCCATCAAAGATGTGAGACCATTTATTAGCAAAATAAATGAACTGGAATTATGAAGGAGAAAGGTTTTCTATACAGATTCTTTCTTTAAGCAGTTATATATCTCTTCTCCATGGAAATCCAGTGTTACAACTGTATACTAGTTCTAGATGAAAAGTATTGAGGTTTCCACTGTCTGTCTTAAATTAGATAAAATATATCAAGGTTTACCTATAGCTCACATTTAAAAATATACAATACAGGTAATCCTGTTTTGTCCTAACTGTACGAAGAAATTGTTTGAAGACAAACCTTTCATCCAAAAGCTAATTGTGGAATTCTGATGACTACATTCCTGCTGTTACATGACTACTTTTCAGGTGCTGTGATATCTGGATCACCTTTACAGCTGGTTGCACAGTCACAGGGCTATGATTTACAATATTTACAATGTTCTGGCCTTTTCAGCCAGAATCTGGCAAAAAAAAAAGCCCATAGGAATACATGGAGTTGCTTAACAATTGCAGTGTTTACTTAATGATTGCAGCATTCAACTCATTGATTACCGCAAAAAAAAAAAAAAAAGAAACCCACCATACATTCACATGGGTGCCTCGACTTACAACCATCATAAATTAAGACGGAAATTCCAGGCTCCTTTATGGTCATAAATCGAATGTCCAGACAACAACTCTTCCACGTGATGCTGTGTGATGTTATCTCACTTGATAAATGCATAGCAGTAGAAACAACTTTGATTAAATCTCCAACATCTGATGGAGATGGGAAGAGGCATTGCGGGAACCTATTTACAAACTAACTGTTCCTCTCCTCCAGAATTATTTTAAATAAGTTCTGTAGAAAAAAATAGATTCTGTGGATACTTGAACACAGCCAATTTTTTATCCCTAAACTTTGTGTTTTGATGAGGGATGGGAATTTTTTCTCTTTAATAGGTTCTACCTAAAAAAGTTTGAAAAATCCTGCTCTAATCTTTGAGAATAGTAACCATTTTTTTTACAATCCCAACCTGGATGCAATCATTTATAAAAATCATAACAGTATCAGTTTCCAGACATATTTTCAAATAAAAGTAAAATTTCCATAAACAGCAAATTACAGTAATAAATTAGGCAGTTTGTTAACACTAACCTTTAAATAATGTATTATGAGAATCTAAAATTGGAAATAGGAAAATGGGTCAGCAAGTATATAAATTTTAGTAGATAGCATTGGCTATGATTTTTAAAATAATGTCCTATTTAATCTAAACCGCATATTGTTTTACTAAATTACTATGATTTATAATTTAATATCCAAAACTCCTTCCATTTTGTTCAAAACAAACTAGCTGAGGTCAAGAGTTAGGGAAGCAAAGAAAAGAAGGGTGCAATGAAAAGGACATAATTAAGTGTATCTTTTTTTTTTAAATAAGGGGCTATTTATAAGGAGGGTAAATTCTTAAAACAAAAAGACAATCTAAATTACTTTTGTTTCTTAAAATCAAATAGCTATTGCTGGGGTAAACAGGTAATCTGCATGGTCTATAAAAGCAATTCACAGTACACAACTGGCACACATGAAAAGCTCAAAAAATATAACAGTGCTTAATTCAGAACTTGAAATTATGATTCTGGTAAAACTTCATGATCATCTACTTAAGATCATATATGCAGATTAATCAGTAGCCTGAAATAAAATTCAACTTACGAAACTTCATACATTGCCCAATCAAAACCAAATCTAAACATTTACTAATTAATTGTTTCAATGCTTTAAAGTGTAAAATTACATATTTAAAATAATATACATATCTAGGTCCTTTCAACTGTGCTGCAGCTTTACCATCCAAAGTAATAGAGGTAGTTCTTAATTTACAACCACAATTCAGCCCAAAATTTCTGTTGCTAAGGGCAACAATTGTTAAGTGAGTTTTGCCTCAATTTACGATCTTTTTTGCCACAGTTGTTAAGTGAATCACTGCAGTTGTTAAGTGAATCTAGCTTCCCCATTGACTTTGTTTGTCAGAAGGTTGCAAAAAGTGATCACATGATTGTGGGAATACTGCAAAGGTCGTAACTCTGAAAAACAGTCATAAGTCACTTTTTCCAGTGCCACTGCAACTTTGAACGGTCACTAAATGAACTGTTGTTAAGTCAAGGACTACCTGTATATGCAAAGTATACCTCCCTGCCTCCCACCCCTACACATTCTTTGGTGTCTGCCATATTAAAATTGAATGGTTTAATTTCAGAACATACAATTTGAGCATCTTACAATTTTACTCCCATAGTCGACACAATCAGGTCCAATACATTCACAGCAGGCGTTGTGAAACCATCGGTATTTGGAGGCACCCATAGAGTCACAAGAGATCTTGCATTGGTATATTGACAAGCAGTCATCGAAGTAAACCACAGTACATATGCGTTCTAAGTGACCAAAGCAGAAAATAAGATTTTAGTTTTTTGACCAAGGTGTAAATCACAGATCATTCAAATAAAACTTCCAACAAACTCCTAAGTTATTGGTTTCATGTCTCTTTTCCTATAATAATATATTAGATCACTGCTCATATTTAATAATTCCCATATTTTGGAATAGAGATCATATTTATATGATTTTTAAAAATAAACAGAAAATCACAACACCTCATTTTAAAAGCTTAAACTTGCAAACATCACCCAACATTTTTTTCAATCTTTCAACCACAATATTTTACCTTTTTCACTAGAATATGGAGGATGAACATTGTTTGAAATGGAAGCATTGTGATGCTGGGGATGGTTCACTGTTTCTAAAACCGAGACTAAATTCTCATGAGGCGATAACTCCTCTGCAACGGGAAAGGACACAATTTTCCAGCTCAGGTTAGTGTCGCCTTCTGTAAGTGCTCGGAAAAGGGAAGCAATCGGCTCATGCAGTTCCTCCACAGTACTTTTCGAAGTGGGAGGTGTGTCACTATAATTCCGAGGGTTACACATACCTGTAGACAAGTTGACAAGTTGTTCAACAATAATGCCCATAAGAATATTTGAGAAATAACATTAGAAAAATTGACATTAACAACCATGAGATTAAATTTTGCTGTGAATTTAAAAAAGCATTTTCTCCACCCCCCACTCTTTTTTAAAAATCAGGTAGTCCTCGAATTATGAGGACTAAATCCAAAATTTCTGTTACTAAGCGGGACAATTGTTAAGTGAATTTTGCCCCAATGTACGACCTTTTTGCTGCAGTTGTTAAGTGAATCACTGCAGTTCTTAAGTCACAAAAGGTCACATGACTATCATAAATATGAGTCAGTTGTCAAGCATCTGAATTCTGGTTATGTGACCATTCAGATGCTGCAATGATTATAAGTGGAAACGTCATAAGTCACTTTTTTATTTCTGTTGTAATTTATAATGGTCACTAAACGAATTGGTGTTAAGTCGAGGACTACCTGTAGAGAACTCTATTAGTTCTGTCATAAAATTTTCCAATATAAAATACACAAAAATTCATATACCACAAACTGCATTTTAATAGATTAAGAGCCTTTCAGTGAGAACAAAGGAACTTTTCGTCCTGTTTAGACTGGAGAAGAACAGACCAAGAATTATGAATCCTGTTTATCTTCTACAACTATCTGGATCTTTGATGCAGGTGCTTTTTAACTCAGCAATCGCAACAAACAATATCACACTATCAATGTAACCTGATTCCCTCCCCCCCACAAAATGATGGGAAGTCATGGAGATGGCATAGAGCAGTTGCCCAACCTTTTCAGTTTTTCAGACCAGTGGAGGAGGGGAGAGGAGGTGGTTCAGTGCAAGCAGGCATGCACATGCGCGCAGCCCCATTTGTGTGAGCAGCGGACATGCGTGCCACCTGCTCATGCAAATAAAGCACAGGTGCACGCTGTCACCCACTTCTCACAAAAGTGATGTTAATTCATCAATACTGGGCTAGTGCATCAGAATCTTACTCTTCCCGAAAGACCGAAAGGCATATAAATTCACTTTTACCACAATTTAAAAGAAATTAAATATGAAACTAGTCTGAAAAACAGTTTTGCTGCATTTCATTTCTGAAGTACTCAATACAATCCTTAATATATTCTGCTAACTATAAAAATACAATGCATCCACTAAAATAAAATTTCAAGAGAACATCTTAAGACTTTATTCCAATAACTAAAGTGGAAATATATTGTAAATGATGCCTGTTAATAGTATCTATACAATAAACACTAGCACTAACAATCTGTTCCAGCTGTAACATATATTACATAATGGGCTATTTACTTTACCCCTTTTGTAATTGTTTAGCATTATACTTTGACAATATATGATACAAGGAAAACACTTAAAGGTAGTCCTCAATTTACGACCACAACTGATACCAGAATTTTGGTTGTTACACAAGGGAGTTGTTAAGTGATTCATACCCAATTCTATGACCTTTTTTGCCACAGTTGTTAAGTGAATCACTGCAGTTAAGTGAATCACATGGTTGGTAAATCTGGCTTCCCCCATTGACTCTATTTGTTAGAAGATGGCTGAGAAAGTCGCAAATGGCAATCATATGACTCCAGGATGCTGCATCTGTCATAAATAGATGTTGGTTGCCAAATGTCCAAATTTTGATCATGGTGGTAAATGCGAAGGATGCTTTTTAGTCACATTTTTCAGTGACATTGTAAATTTGAATGGTTGTATTTCAAGGGCTATCTTTATATATAATTCAATTTTTTTTTGTTTTTGTTGTATTATGCCACTCTAATAATCTACTATGTTTACAAAGAAACACTGAACATTATATGGGAAAGTATTGACATTATGTAGTATTTGTGCTCATAGCTGTTTTCCTTTTTAATTAGAGCATGATCTACATTAATTTCTTTTCAGTTTTCTTCCTCAAACAGATCTTAAGAACATGTGGGTTCCGTTTGCTATGGTTTCCCACATATCCTTTAGTAACATGTAAGCAGCAATGTAAGATTCAAATAGCATAATTGTCCCTGAACTTACTATTAGTCATCTAATGAATTTTAGTATAAACATTAAATAGTATAAATCTGAAATTTATCAGAGACAATTCAAGCACCTGATCCCTTGTTCTCTATTGTGTCCCTAACTAAACATAACTGCAGCATCGTTGTATACTTTTTCCTTTGTCCATTTTGTACAGCAGAACACAATTGTAAACCTATACCAGCTTTGCTTTGTTGATATTCATAAATGTGTAGCCTGTTTTTTTATGACGGTTCAGAACACTTGCAATTTTGCGGGTTTTTTTTTTAAACTCTGCAATTCAGATGAATAGAAAAATATTTCCTTGTCCTTAGAGACAGTTGGCCAGAGCAAATAACAGCTGGGTAAATCTAGCACACATAAATGAAACAATATCTAAAATAATATTGCTAGATATGACACAACCCCCTTTAAATCCTCACTGGAGTTTAAATTAAATCTGGCACTACTTTTTTGCACCTTCCATTCTTTGATTGGGAAGCTCTGGCTTTCTTACAAGAAAGCGAAGCTTTCTTATCCAACGATTCGTCCAAGCAGGAATTCACTTAACTATTGGAACCAGATAATTCACTCCAGATAAATCCCTACAGTAACATCAATTAAAAGCAGGGGTGGATAGCTAGCACATTTTTTTCCCATACAAGTGTTGTCTATTACTTTCCTATGGAGCTGCTGGTTTTTATGTACTTAAGTAAGTATAAGAATTCCCTATATTCTATAGCTCCTTTTTACTGATATTACAGTTGCATGTAATTCAAATCATAGGAAACAGCAATCTAATTTCTTCCATAATTTATGAACTGGTCTAGAGACTCCTAAAAACAGAGAGTCCTCATTCTCTTTCCAATCTAGCTTGTAAATGAATCCTACTCAGTAAGTCTTCATAAAACAAACAATTGACTCTCAGATTGACTTGGCAGATTGCAGCAAGAATAAGCTCCTTCGCAACATCCAGCAGATCAACACTATCACAGTGTGATGCAGCCATAAAATATGTGGAAAGGATCATCTTTCCCCAAAACAACATTAGAAAATGAAGACTCAGCTTTCCTTAAAGCCTCAACATAATTCATTACAGTTGGGAATTTAGCATTTAATATCAGCTGAAATTACCAAGCTGAGATTTCTTCCCATCCATCAATGTTTATAAATCCTCAGCTTTGTTCTGCCCACTACTATGGGCATATTCCCATAAGTAGATAGGTGTGCATGTGCCATTCAAGAACATTTAATAGCAATGAAAAACTGAAGAAAAATGAAGAAAGGACCAACAGAGATTTCCTTAGAGTCTTGCGAAAAAATCAGGTGGAACAACGACTGATGACCTCTTTCTATCTGTCCACCATAGAAAGTGTCCTCACATATTGTATTAGAGTATGATATGATGGTTTAACAGCTGCGGACAGGAAGGCACTACAGAGAGTGATCAATTCGGCACAATAAACCATTGGTTGCCCTCTGACACCACTGGATGACATTGTCAGATCTCTCTGCTTTAGCAGAGTAAGGAAGGTACTCAGAGATGATTCACACCCTAGTCAGTGTCTCTTTGCACTTCTACCATCAGGCAGAAGACATCAAAGTATAGCCAGCCGAACAAATAGGTTTAAAGATAGTTTCTATCCTTGGGCTGTCAGACTTTTAAATACAATCACAATCATTCCATGCACACGCTAGTTTTTTTCTTTTTCTTTCTTTTTTCATTTCTGCTATAATTTTACAGTGAGGTTAAAACCAATTTTGTTGTATTTAAGTACAATGACAATAAAGATTATACTTATACTTATTAAGCACTACAGGCTATGATAGCTGGCAGGTCACACAACAAGTTATGGTTGGGTTAACTAAACTTAATTCCTCTGTCTACATAGTATATTGTATATTCAAACAAATAAAAAGTTTCAAAACAAATTAAAATTAATTAAATTATTAAATTAAAATTAAACATTGCAAAACAAAGTTTCAGATTTTTGCATTATTCAAACAACATTCAAAATACAATGGCTGGTATCCTACATGCTGACTCACAAACCACTTAAGCCCATTTTAGTCTAATGTAGTGGGTTGCATGTATCCATTATGTCTTTGAACCACAATTTTTCCAACTTTGAAAAAAACTAATCAAAACAATATTTTTCAGAAAGATTTGCAGCATACACTATCTTTTCTCAATCCTAATAAACGTTTCTTCCCTCCAATATAGGATGAGGTACACATTTCTTGAATTTTGGCTTAAAGCACCAAGTGTTACTTCATAACTTCCTCCTTCATAAATAGCTAATCTTAAACTCATGTTTAAGATACACTGTGAGTTAAATATAAAATACCCATTATTCTATCTGTTGTTACTTTTGGCATAAACTTTAAAAGCTATTAAAGCATTGAAAATTACTACTGAAAATAGCTGGTTTCGGTATAGGTGGGAAAAAACATGAACTTACCAACACAGTCACAGCATTCATCCCAAAGTGTGCCTAGACAAAGCATGCACTCCTTGCAGCAAGAACAATTTCCTTCACCAGGTCGACATTGACACAGCTCCTAGATAATGAGAGACAGACAGACAGACAGACAGATGAAAGATTACAGACAAAAATATGTCACATTATACTATGTCCTTGATATGTGTGGTATCAATGAAAGATTATGATTTGCATTTATGGTTCTTAAATAATCAAATTCTGCATGAGGAAATCATGGTAGCTTTCCTATCATCAGAAGGTGCAGAAAGTAAGCCCTTGTCCTGGCTGAATGTATAAACTTCCCTCTATGATCCCTTATAAATTTAGTCCAGCCTTTGGATGTAGAGTCTCCAAGCCCCACTTACCTTCATTTTAGTGCCTTGAAAAACAAACTGGACAAAAATATAATGAACATTAATTCCATCTAGTAAACAAAGGCAACACTTCATTGTATCCAAATAGCCAATTATAAAATTCCTTCCTCGATCTGGTAATGGCAGAGATAGCTATCAGTAACAGTCAAAGAAAGAGTGCAACCCTGTTGCAAACATGAAAACTATCTTGCTCTAATACCTTGTTTCCCAGAAAATAAGACAGGGTCTTATTTTCTTTTGACCCCTGAAATAAGTGCTTGACCTTATTTTCAGGGCGGTCTTATTATTTTTGAAATGCATGAGGCAGCAAGCGTGGTCACTTCATGGTTGCTGCTGTGTTGCAATATTTTCAGGGAGGGCTTATTTTACCACATGCGCTCAAAAGCCTAATTGAGCTTTAATAAGGAAGGTCTTATTTTCAGGGAAACAGGATAGTAGTAGTAATCTTTCCTCTAAACATAATCCTTAATTCTAAGATAAGATATATTCAGAATATATACAGAAGCACACTATGCTAAAAGTTATTTCATTACAACAACACCATCACCACCCCCGTCCCCACAAAGAACTTTGGATAATACCCAATTCTTGGGAAAAGCTTTAGAAATTATGGACAGCCCCATTTCTAATGTGAGAATAAGACAAAAACAAATGCAAAAAATAGATATACATTCACATATTTTATACTTTTACAGACCTATGTATCATGTATCAAGTCAGAATAGCTGACTTCACAGTGCATATTAAGCCAAAATCAGTCCCTGCTTTTTTGTTTATGGTATAGGAACCCAAAAGATTGTATTTATGCATTACGAAAAGTCACAGTATGTTGAATTCAAGTCACCATGGGTTATCTCACTAATACAAATCTTATCAGGACACAATCTTGTCATTCATTTGTTGGATATATATGTGATCTGCTAGAAGCAATATATCTACTTATATTGTTACAATTTACAGATGTAATTTTTTATGAGAACTCTTTTTTCCCCATAAATTAAATAAGTTGAGATTGCTAAAAAGTTTATGATACTTGAAATCCCATCTGAACTGAATTTAAAGAAAACTATCCAGAAAGACAAAACAAATGAAGCATGTTTCAATACAAGATTGTTGACTTCATTCACATCTGTTGCACAGCTGATAAAATAAATATTTATGTCGACCATTCCCTGCATTCTATAAAATGGAGTACAGTTCATGCAATCTCTTCTATTCACATGAAGGAAAGAAATTGATTAATACTAGATTAATCACCCTCAGTTCTTCCCCTCTCTTCAGTACAAGCTGTTATTATACAAAAGAAAAGTCTTCTAAAAATTAATTACTTCTATCTGTGACGATAACTTAACTTACACAGTATCCACTAAAACCTGTATATTTAATCAGGGCTTTAATATACAATATTGTTTTCAGATAAAGAATCTTAATTTAGGGATAATCCCTTATAATGTATTTATAAATTAAATTAAGGTGTTAATCAGTACACTATTTATTTTTTGACTTGTCAATGAACCATGAAATGCACCAGAACTGTATTTTTGTTAAGGTTCTTTTTTTTTTAACAAATGCTCATTATTAAATTTAATTATGAAAATTACAAAAATGTTCAGCAGAAAAAAAGGTTAAAAGATTTCTAAAAATAAATTATTTAATTTGTTATCTTGATGATAAGAGTGAAGAATTTCCTCATAGGATTATTAATAATTATACTTTATCACACAGAAATATATGCATCTGTACTTCTTTAACATTTGGGGCAAAAGTTTAGGCACATTTGGACATGTTAAGTATGCATAGATTTCAAATTTATACACCAGTTCTCCCTTTAAAAACCCTGAAGATATTTACAGTGAAGTCTTATTGGTGCTAAACACTATAGTTTCAATAATGTCTCACATTCTGGAAGTTGCTTTTTCCCTTTTCTTTTTAATTTAAAATATAGTTTCAAAAAAGATAATGTCTATAGTTGGAGTGTTACAATTATAAAACTGATGTTCAAGATTAAAAAAACCGAGCAAAGTACTTTGAATTGTTTTTACAATATTAAAAAAAAGGAAATACAAACTTTTGAGCTTAGTAACAAAACCTTTATGGTTTAACATTTACTTAAAACCAGTATGCAAACAGCCAAGAAATAAGCCTCAATTATGTGTTAGAATTAGATGTTGATGAATTAATTATTTCTCATTTTAATTCACCCACAGTTACCAAGTTGCTGCAGTTTAGAGGTTATTATTCCAGGACAATTATTGCATAATTCAAAGGTAGGTAATGAAATGAGCCTGAGTCCCAGTATGCCTGCAGAAATTTGCCTTGGCATCCACTGGCATCAATGCCCATACTGACTAAGCTTTTTTTTAGGTTAAATTGAATCTGGCTCCTAAAAAATCAAACTGTCCGCTACCATCTTCATTTGTATTTACAAGAGGCGGCACTAGGAATTTTTAGAAAGCAAATAAAAAGATTTAAAGGAAATATAAAGATATAAAGAACCAGTTTGGTCTAGTGGTTAAGTTACCAGGCTAGAAAATCAAGAGGCTGTGAGTTCTAATTGCACTTTGTGCATAAAAGTTGGGTGGATTACTTTTGAGCCAGATACTCTCTCTCAGCCCAACTCAGGATTTCTTATTGTTTATAAAACAGAAGATATGTGTGCCGCCTTGTGTTATTTATAAAAATAATAAAGATGGGTTAAAAAAATTACTGGAGCATAGTGCTTTATTTGGAAGCATCCATGTTGCTAGGAAAATAATACAAATAAAAGTAAGTTGGGATGGTAACATGCAACTATCATGATAAATTATGTTTACCTTCTGCTTCCTGGTGATTTTTGCCACACTCTGGAACATTTGTCTATGTTGACTCACATTTGCCATTCTATTACTATTCATCTCTTTTGAAAATATATTTTTGGATTTCTTTCCAATCCATTTTTGAATTTACAGTTCTGGTCATGTGTTACTGGAAAAACTGGCCATTTTATGCTTCAAAATTATCTGTCATTTATCACATGCAAAGTGTTTCCCTACAGAGATATTTTTGCTTTGATTTCTTTTTCTAAGTGACGATCTGGCTGCAAAGATGATGAGTATGTTCCAGACAGAAGAATTCTACAACCAGGAGCAATGTTTCAACATCAGTGCGTGCACACAAATTCTGTATTCCGATTCTAGGATAAGTCTATAAATTTGGAAAATTAAACCAGCAAGGGTTGTATAAATGCATTAGTAAACATGAAATACCCAATGCTATCTTTAGAATCACTTCCCAAACATAATACAAAGAAAAACAAACGTGTCACATAGTTTGGTAAAAAAAAGTATTTGACCTCTTTTGGATTTCTGTATTTTTGCATATCTTTGCCAGCAAATGTTACCACAGGTTCCACAGGGATCTTACTAATATACTACAGAGACTTTGAAGTGAACATATAACACCAAGTGGGAAACTTATTTCAGTATACAGAATATAACTTTTTCCATATTCACTCAGCCATAGTTATCCATCAGCTTCTCCTAATGTTATTTAGTTCTAAACATTCTTCAAAAAACTAAAAAGCAAAACAGTATGCATTGCTTACTTATTTTACATAAATAAAATATACTCATTTCTGGCCAAAATGTAATACTTCCTTATGAGTTTTTAATACATTTTTTTCACAGAGTATACTGTATATAAATAAGCCTCATCTGCAATAATATAAATAATAATATTATGAGTAGATAAAACAAATCCCCAAAATTAATTCCAAGTTAATTACAGTAATAGCAACATGTTCTATCATTTTAATGACATTCAAACAGAACACTTTAATGTTATTGGAATAGTAAACTTTTATAGCCCTACATTAAGAAAAATCATCAAAGCTCATTGTTTTTATATTTATTTGATCAATATATTTTTCCTGAATCTACTCTGTCACATAAGTTTTCTACAGCAATTTTTTGTACCAGAGATCCAGTTTTATGTTGTGTTTAGATGAGAAATTAGTAGTCACTTTCAATTCATGGATAGGCCCATGCAGCATGAAAAAAAGTACACTGGATAAACAAAGAGATATTTTAGCTGGTAATTCGATATTTCAAGAAATACCTTCTCCATTATGGAGGAGGATAGAACCTTCAGACATCTTCAACCATTTTCTTCCAGGTGCTTCCTCCAAGTGATATGTTTCACCTGTAATGTCTCACTCATGTTTGAGGGAAGCATGCATGGTATCCACATAAATACCTCCTCAGTGCAAGACAAAACTTCTCCTTCCGGGCATTTCTATTATTTTAAGTATCTGATCAGTTTTGGACTAATATTTGATTATATATGCCCTATATTCTCTTTATAGTATTTATTATTTGCTTTTTATTGATTCACTGTAAATCAAATACTGTTTTACTTATTGTATATAATTTAGGTTTCAATTATTTAACTTTACAAGCTGGCCAAGAATTTAAGTCTCAGTAGATTACAATGTTATTATATAAACAAATCACCACATTAATCAATTTTACTGATTTCAAAATTCTAATTTTATCTTTTATAAGATGATGCTAATAAGCATTTGCATGTTTCTTCATGCATTCAAAGAATAAAAATACAAAATAAAGATTTCCACATTCAATAAATTTCTCTTCAAAATAATTTTTATTTCATCTCTTTCAAAATTATTATTACAGAAAAATGTCTGGATTCTTATCAAGCATAAGTGTACATGATCTCATACCTGTATTAGGCATTTGCTGACATCACTAGCACAGAGAGCTTTGTTGCAGCACATGGATGATGGGATCCAGAAGTACAGCAAACTGATTATGAGGAACCCTGGGAAGTACCACAACCTCATCTTTCATTCAGGAGGGAGATTTCAAAAAATGTTCTAACTGTATTGAAATAAAAAATAGTATGAAGAGCCCATATTTTCTGAGGAAAAGACTAAGCTTCTTTCATCTTTATTCTATAATTCTCAAAGGCAGTTTCGTTTGTTTCCCATTAGTTTTTTTTATGCTCAGATCAGCTGCATGTTTGGTTAAAAAAAGTTCTCATGTAATTATAGGACAAGACAATTATTTTTCCATTGACTTCAAAGTTATGTAAAGCATGATACTTCAAACGATAATAAATGTAATTATTTTAGTTACAATCCCATCATGGTATTTATTTGCAACAGATTTATTTCATGGGGTAACAGAAAGAACAGGAAAAGGAGGCCTACTAGAACTAATGTAGAAGAATTCTTTCTGATGGATAAATGAGAACATGTCATAACATAACCTCATTTCAATTCCAGCTATACAGGAGTATTACTTTACAAACAAGGCTTCTGAAAAAGGGATTGGATGGGAGCCACATATTAATCAACAGAATATTATATTGATAAAGGATATACCAGATGACTTAATCTCTGTACTCTGCTTCTAATTAAGTAATATTACATACTCCAATCATATCTTTCTAGTTACTATTTCCCTATCATACTTTTTCCAATACAGTTGCGAAACAACAAAACATAAAGCAGCAAACAAAAGACAGGAAGGGTCCACCATCAAACAAGGTCTACCATCTTTTCACTAGATACACCTGAACTTTAGCAGAGCAATTTGGAAAAACCTGAAATGACAAAACATCTCTAGGATTCTTTTTTTAATTGTTATATTCTTTATATACTAAACATGATTTAAGAGTTACAAAATAAGGGCAAATAATCTGAACAGTAATTTTAGATTCCTTACTGCAGTGTTTCTCAACCTTGGCGACTTTAAGTGCTGTGGACTTCAACTCCCAGGATTCCCTAGCTGGCTGGGGGATTCTGGGAGTTGAAATCCACAGGACTTAAAGTCGTCAAGGTTGAGAAACACTGCCTTACTGGAAAATAGTTTTGGAGAAATAATTTGAAAACATGATAAGCCTTTGAAAATTATAGTCAACAGAAACCTGTTGGATTGAATCCACTTTCTACAATTTCATTATGTCAGTCCTTCATTTAAACTTCCCTTCAGATAAATTGGTCTATCAATTGAAAAGATGAGATCTTTCACAACCCAAAATGTACTATTACACACAAAAAAAAGGACAGTTGAACATTTAATTGATTCTACATTTCAAAGTTTTTATGATGGACAAAAACTATACAGAGAAACATATTTAGAGGAAACAAAGCTGGTCGAAAATTATTCACACCTGTTCATCCGTGGCATGTTATTCTCTTTTCTACCTGAATGACACATTAAACCCTTTTGCTTTACTCAGTAAATCGTTAATCAAGCCCCCGTAGTTGACAAAGGCAAATTTTCTCCAATACGTAAGCCCCCAACTCTTCCACGCATTTTTTTTTTTAATGGGGGGGGGACTTTTAATGAAATCTCCAACGCGGCGGCCAAGACCCAATCCCGAGGCAAAAACACAACTCTCCCCACCCGCGTCTGCTTCGCCTCGCTAAATCGGGTCTAGCGCCTGGGGGAGGATAAGAAATTTAAGGACGGAGGCGAGTGGGGCGGGCGGGAAGGCAACAGAGCGAAGCTCATAAAGTAAACTCAAGTTTCTCAGCATGGACCAGCCAAAAACGGCGACGGCGGCGGCAGGGAATACAAAGGACAACTGGAGAGATGGAGCAGCGCTCGGCTATCCAGGCTTCAAAGAAAAGTTCGCTTCAGGGCAAGGGGCGCAACCGACGCCGCTTTCTAAAACCCAAGATCCCGCTAAGCTCCAGGTCCTACAAAACAAGCCGCGGTGTTCAGTCCGTGCGCCCACCTCATGCCTTTCTAAGGGGACACCTCCCCCCCCCCGCTCGCTCCCGCATGTTTCCACTGCGCCGGGTCGGCTCGCTTACCTCTCAGTTTGCCCTCCTTCAGAGGCCCCTTGCTCACTCTGCCCGCTTCTTTCCCGACGACCGCCTCTTTCTTAGCCTAGCCACCACCCGGCTTCAACTTGCAGAACGACCGGGACGAGGCGAGCCCTTTTCCTGCGGCGGCGGCTCCGCTTGGCTGCCTTTGCACAGGGCCGGATGGCAGGCAGCGTCGACCTACCTTAAAGAGACAGGCCGCGGCAGCTGCCTTCGGAGCAGCTTCGGCTGCGATGGGAGACGGGAAAAACACAGCCAAGTCGTCTCCTCCTTCTCGGCTTAAACATACAGAGCAAACACGCGCACACACCTCACGGCGCCGGAGGGACTCGCCCACGCGCCGTCTCCTCTCAGAAGGTCCCGGAGCGCATCGCGAAATTCGGCCTCTTGGCGTTCTGGGGCGGGAAAGCGCCTCTGGGGAGGGAGACCTGCCCATCCAGGAATGGCCTCGTTGGTAAGCCAGCCCCTTCTTTGACGCCACGGAGCTCACCTCGGGGCTCAGCGGGGTGACTTCTATCCAGGATAGTTCCCGCGGAAGGGGAAAAGAGGTTCGCTTCTCCCCAGTGGACTCGAAGGGCTTTTCCACTTGTGACCCTGAGGAGTTGCGCCTCCGCCTGACCTGTTGCTGGGTTGCGCTGTCCACGTATTCGTTTTTGAAAAGTCTGCAAAATGGGACCAAAATAAGTTCTACTTCTCTCTCATACACACACGTAGGATTTTTTTTTTTCCTGCAGAGCTAAGCAAGTATTACTTTGTTGCTTTTCTTTAACACGTGTTGCCGTATGCGTAGGGCAACTGCATAAAATGAGCATTTTTTAAATGGGTCCCAGGGTGTTCACAGAAAAAAGGACAATAAAGGTTATCTTAACTGATACTGGCACAGGAATTTAAAAGCTTTGTGCCACAGTTGCTAAGACACAGTAGCCTGGTCTCCTCTCCGGGTTCACCACATTATCTAATTCTTTGTGGATTGGCTAGAAGTGACTCCTGCTCCCCTTCTTTTGTATAAATTAATACGGTGAGCAAATAAGAAAAAGAAAGCCTATCATTAGATCATAATCCATACACATATCTCAGCCACAATGTGATTTGTTTGATTTTGCTGTGTGAATCCCAACATAGTTTGTGCTTTAGATATTAGAGGAGCCAATTTGGGCTTAACTCAGTCTTGTTTGAATTGTGATTTATGATGTGCATAGCCAGCACTTGATTCACTAGGAATAATAGGCCTGCTATTGTTTCTGCAGTTAATGCCAAGTTTCATAGGGGCTTAAGTAACCAGTATTACTTATTGAGACTATAGTTGTAAATGCAATACTTCCTTTCCTCTTTCTCTCCCATAAACCCCCTTGGAAGGAAAAAAAGGTCAGTTCCTGTGCTCATATACAAACAAACAAGGCTGGTAGCAGCTTTAAGCTGAGTGCAGCAGATGCCCCAGGAAGTTGACTGCTGTAGATAGAACTTTTGAGGATCGACGGAAGGACGAGACTGGAGCCAGGACTGACAGAACAAGCAGTTTATTCACGGTAACTATTTACAGGCGATTCAGCACCTTCCCTGCTTGACAGCTATTTAAACGGAGCTGTCAAGCAGGTATAGCCAATGAGCACGCCCCTAGCGGCTAGCAACAAGCGACGCCGCGCCCCAGTTGTAGTAGTTGTAGTTGAGTTTATTTATAGGCCGCCCTTTTCCCTGAGGGGACTCAGGGCGGCTAACAACTTGTATGGGAAGGGGAAACATACAATAACATATAAACACAATATATAATTAAAATCGAACAACATTCATTCAACATTCGGGTGGGGGCGGATTAACTCTTTACCCCCAGGCCTGGCGGGATAGCCAGATCTTAAGGGCTGTGCGGAAGGTCTGAAGGGTGGTGAGGGTACGAATCTCCACGGGGAGATCGTTCCAGAGGGTCGGAGCTGCTACTGAAAAGGCTCTCCTCCGCGTAGTTATTATTGTAAGCCGCCCTGAGTCCCCTCAGGGAAAAGGGCGGCCTATAAATGTTTAATAAAACTAAAACTAAAAAAAAAAAAAAACAACTAGTTGCCAGCCAGCACTGGCTGGCAGATGGCACTCGGAGGAGGCCTAATCTGTGTGATCTTATGGGTCGAGAGGAGGTGATTGGCAGCCAATCAGGGCGCCACCTGGCTTGTTGCTAGCCGCCAGGTCGTAAGTCAATGACTTTCTGAGTCCTCAACACCCCTTCCCCCCAAGCAAGAGCGCATGCTCAGCGTTGAAGCATGCGTAGTCAGCGAGATAGGCGGGACAGTGCCGGACCCGCCCAGAATGCCTCAGTTCTACAGGAGTCGTCGGAGGGGTGAGTCCTGCTCGTTGCAGCTCCTCCCCAAAGGGAGTGGAGCTCCGAGCAACGCCATCTTGGGATGGCCCAGAAGGCGGGCGCAACTTAACAGGTAAGCGGGGCCGAGGGGGCGCGGCAACTTGGGTGGAGTCATTGTGCCGGGAGGCGGCGACTGGTGAAGTACAAGCGTTGTAACTGGGGAATGGGACCGGATTGGCTTGAGATTGAACTGGGGACGTCGGCTAGCAGGAGGCGTCCGGATAGGTGGGGTCTGCCTGGGGAAAGGCCCATAAGTGTGAATCTGGACATGGAAACTTGGATTGAGGAAAAGAACAGGCAGGAGGAAGTCCTGCAACATCGGAGTAGGAGAGGCCTGCCTGGGGAAAGGCCTCAAGCTGGAATCTGTGGACAGGCTGGAAGGCAGCTGTGTCGTGGGCCCCTGGATCAGAAGGGGCGCCGGTCTCAGTGGGAAGATGCTTCTTTAACTGATCCACGTGGTGCCTCCACTCGGATCCATTGGCCAGTCCGACCCTATAAGAACAGGGACCGGTTATGGACAGAATAGAGGCAGCCACCCATTTAGCGTCCCCAGAGAAAGAGCGGGCCCAAACCAAATCCCCCACAAGGAAGGAGCGGGGAGGGGAAACCCCCAGGGTGCATGGCTGCTCCCTTGAATAGAGAGGATGAAGCCTATCCAGAAGGGTCTGCAAGCGCCGACCCATCAACAGCTCTGCGGGGCTTTTGTTGGTCGTTGGGCAGGGAGTGGAGTGTTGGCTTAGCAGGTAAACCGCCACCCTCACCGGCCAATCGCCCCGGTCCATCTGGCCGAGCGGACTGCACGGTCTGCCCGGCCATTGCAGGCCGGATGGTACGGAGTGGTGGGCTCTGGTGGTGGTGGTGGTACCCTGCAAGGCCAGGAATTCCTGGAAAGTGGTGGAAGTGAATTGGGGCCCATTGTCCGAGTCCACCATGTCCGGCAACCCGTGGGTTGCGAACAACCGGCACAGGGCCCTGACAGTACTCTCACCTGTGGTGGAGGCCATGAGGACTGTCAGGAATGTCTGGCCGTGAAAGGGGCTGGCAAAATTTACGTGAATACGAGACCACAGGCCTCTCGGAGCCTCCCACTCTCGAGCAGGCGCTGTTGGGGGAGTGGGATGGGAAAGCTGACAGGTAGAAGAACGGCCAACCCAGGCTGTAATCTCAGTGTCCAGCAAGGGCCATCAGATATAGCTGCGCACCAACGCCTTCATGCACGCTATGCCTGGGTGATTCTTGTGGAGCAGAGACAGAACCTGAGATTGCAGAATGGGAGGGATCACCACCCGGTCCCCCCAAATAAGGCACCCACTATGAGACAGTTCGGCTTGGTGGGCCTTAAAGGGCCGGAAACTGTCAGCCAACTTCCCCAGAGGCCACCCGTGGAGGACCCAGGAGCAGACCTGAGCCAAAACCGGGTCGGCCTTGGTATGGGCCGCCACGTCAGCAGCGGTGAGGGGAAGACCCGAGGCGATCGAAAGAACGGACAAGGATGGCACCGGGACCAGGTCGGAGACAGGCAGGGGGCAGCGGCTAAGGGCATCAGCATGCCCTAGCCGCTTGCTGGGAGGGTAGAGCAGCGTATAGGAATACGCCGCCAGGAACTCCGTCCAGCGGGTCATCCTGGGAGAGAGGATGGGAGGGGTCAGCTTGTTGCCGGCCAGAAGCCCAATGAGAGCCTTGTGGTCCGTGACAAATGTAAAGTACCAACCATACAGATAATCGTGGAATTTCTTAATCCTGGACACTGCAGCCAGAGCCTCCTTGTCAATCTGGCTGTAATTGCGCTCCGCAGAGGAGAGTGTCCGGGAGTAGAAAGCCACAGGGGCCGCCGAGCCATTTGGGAGGACATGGCTCAGGACAGCCCCCAGACCATAGGGGGAGGCGTCACAGGCTAACGTCAGCGGCAGCTTGTCACTGTACTGCACTAAGGCAGTCGCTGATGTAAGCATGTCTTTGACAGCCGCGAACGCATATGCTTTGTGGCTGCCCCAGTGCCAGGCCGTGGATCAATCGAGCAACCGATGC